CACCGTATTTCAACTAATTTAAAATTGAATTGCGCAATCGGGATTAAACATGAGTTCTTCAAACTATGTGCCAACATTGCTTAGTGTGTTTTCTTTAAAAGGAAAAAGAAATGCTATTTTCTTACTGTATTAATTTAAAAAAAAAGTCGAACCACCACGACGACTGTTTCTTTTGTGTGATATTTATCTATGGAATAAATTCAGGTGATAGAAGCAAATAGTCATATCCCATGACTCCATTGGTTTTGGGGTCTACTTGCAGTCACCTACAAGATCCCTATCCTAATGATGATCAACCTAGAACATATGAAAATCTTCTGTCTGGATGATCAATTTGAATGGATTGAGAGACAAACAATAAAAGAGAAGAAGGAAGATATATTGGACGATCCTCAAATTAGGCAACTCATAAAGAATCCACTGTTCGCAAATTTTGCGAATAAAATAGAGAAAAATACCAGGGACGCGGACGAAAGAATCCACCAAGATATCAGGACTTTGGAGGAGCCGATATCAGGAGAGAGGCGATATCAGGAGACGTCCAAATGATGTATGATAAATGTTGGAACTTATGACAAAATCAGTGAGATCTTGTCCACGCTGGAAAATTATATAAAAGGCATAGAATAAAATGTTATTTTTCATTGTAATTTAAAGTAAAACTAGTACTAGCATATCTCGAAATCTAGAGCTGTCAGCAACGTTCTGTTACTTTTTTCGGAATCAGCGTCTTTGAATTACTTAAAAACCATTACCACATCTCAATTTATTTGACTGTAATGCAGTGTTATCATCTTCTACCATATATTAGGTTGTCAAATATCTCCCTTCCGCTTTTTTGCTCTTGGTTCAATACAAAAAGGCGGAAGGGAGATATTTGACAACGTTATATTATTTGTAATGCAATAAAATAAATGAGTTGGTTATTTAATTGCTTTCAAATTTGTTCTTGTCGGGCGAATATGAATGCATGTCAAAAAGTAATTTGACATATAATATAAATACTATCAGTTTTCTAATGAAAGTTCAGATCATAAAAATATAATTAAGAGTATATAATTAACGTAAAAAAGAAATAGTCTTAGTTTATAAAATCTTTCTCTAGTTTTGTATTATATAAAAACTTGAAAACCGTGTTTGCTGAACTTTACATAATATTATTATGTACTGTATTGTCATACAACGTGGAATAGGAATATGCATCATTTTACTTTTATATGTACATTCATATAATCGTAAAAACTACATTTAATGATTTTTTAGAGCTTATTAGACTTTTTAAATTATTTTTATCTTTTGATAAACATATCTTAATTCAAAACTACTATGTCATTTATTATATTTTAATTGCTAATAAACTAGCACATATCAATAATAAGTGAAATACATTCAGTGTTGATTGTAATTAATTTTTTTGTGAAAGTTTAGATTCTTACTACTTGCATGGAATTCAGTGAAACAGAACATGTTATGCAATGCTAATGTATTTCTCTTGGAAAAAAATATTTGAAGATCTTTACTCGTGATTGAAAATTCTCGTATTTATAATGCGCATTAATTAACTATATCATGAATTAAAGTTTTTGCATTGGCATTAGTTACATATATTAATTTACGAAATACTAATTCATATTTAATAATTGGAGAAACCTTACTACGAATGCAATACACGTGACTTTTGTCTAATGTGTTATTTCTAGGTATGATGCACCAAACATATATATAAAATTAATGCAAATTAAGGTATGATAATGTCATCTATTACAATGAAATGAAAATGTATTAGAACGGAAACGTGTATTTGTTTAACATATTTAATCGCCAGAGTAATATCAGATTTTTTTTTACGTGGGTCATGGTAACTTTATTAGACTAATTTAATTAAAAATGTGCCAAGGAAACTTCATGCATCAAAGAAAAAAAAGCCGAAATTACTGGAAAAACACTATTTTTTTATGTCACACATATATAACTAACATGGCCCTACATGTAAGCTTTTTTGTCAATGTGTTGTAGTCGGTCTACGTGAGCTACGTAGAACTTTTTTTTTCACAAAATCTACTGCATACTTTCTTGAGTAAATGATTTTGTATTAAAGTCTTTAAATATTTGTGAACGTCGACTTTTTCGTTAATTAGTGGTTAGAGCTATTGGCTTCCAATCATTACAAGTTCGATATCATCCGCCTTGGACAACCTAATATCAAACAGTAGTGACTTCGGTTGTCCTTGAAAATATAGATAACAAATCAGTTTGAATCAAAAAGAGGTAGGTCAACTATTGGGTTGCTTTCTAAAGCCCCGTTATTGAGAAGTCGTCGCAAAAAGCTTATAGGACTATTAAGTTCTGATTGCTGTTAAGAATATATGAAAAATGTTTGTGTTTGCCGAGTTTAAATTCATGCATAACAAGGTAGAGCTATGGGCTTCCAATCATTACAAGTTTGATATCATCCGCCTTGGACAACCTAATATCAAACAGTAGTGACCTCGGTTGTCCTTGAAAATATAGATAACAAATCAGTTTGAGTCAAAAAGAGGTAGGTCAACTGTTGGGTTGCTTTCTAAAGCCCCGTTATTGAGAGGTGGTCGCAAAAAGCTTATAGGACTATTAAGTTCTGTTTGCTGTTAAGAATATATAAAAAATGTTTATGAGTTTGCCGAGTTTATAAATTAGACTTGTTTACATAATTGCATTACGTCCACATGTTGAACAATTTTATTTTTTATGCGTTTGCTGAATTATTGTGTGCTTTGTTATAAATTCATGCATAACAAGCATTTGTGAAACATCTGTTGTCAATAATCATTAAATGCTGAGTTTTGCATTGCAATATTTGTCAACAAATTGCACAATAAATTCTACTGCGTGCTCGCGTTTGTTTTATTAGCGCTGAGTATTTAGTAAATATTTAAGCTCTGGCTATGTGAATTTATTCAGTGTAAAGGTTTCTAACAATGCTGTTGCTGTATTGTTTTCATTTAGATTGTTATTGAAATGCTTTAATTTTTAATCAGAGGCCCATGCAATGACTAAGATGAATTCTTTCGCAGTGTTTTGTTGTAGATATGTTTGGTATTATTTGCACGATAATTACTACATACCTTGTTCTATGTTCATTTATTCCATACCGCTTGTTCGTGGTGTTATAATATAAATACAATTTGGCAAATTGGTTAGTCGGCAATACCTGTTGTGTTTGTCAAGAATATCATATTGTTGACTTATCATTTCATACAAGATAGCTGATCCATATGTTACAGTACCGGATAACATATGTTAGTGTTAATATCTAATATTTATGCTTCTTTCACTTTGATTTTCATTAAAATAATTATGAAAATGTCATAATGTGCTAATTACAATACAATTACGATTCTTCGGTGACTAATAATTAAAATGTGTTTTCAAAAGTGTGTTTATTGAGCTTATGTGGTGATAATCCTCGTTGCTAAAGTCAATAGCTAACAAATTTTAAAGGCAATAGCTAACAAACTCTTATTTAAAATTATAGAGTTCTTGAAATATATGTATATATATATATATATATATATATATATATATATATATATATATATACGAGGTCTGTTCAAAAAGTACCCGGAATTACTAATAATTAAATTTCGCGGGTCTGGAGTGTCTGATTGTCAAATTTTTTTTTTTATTGTGTTGGTATACATGCCCCTAAAGTATGATGAAATTTTCAGCTATATTCACTGTTTACTTTGTCTGTGGTAGTCGCTAAGGTTCGACGTGTTTTTCTGAGCTCGGCGATTTTTACAATGGAAGAATTGAAAAGTCAAAGAATTTGTATTAAATTTTGCGTAAAAAATGAAATAAAGTGTTGCAAAGTGCAAAAATTCACCAGATATGGCTCTGTGTGACTTTTTCCTATTCCCAAAGTTGAAGAGACCCATGAAAGGACGGCGGTTTTCCTCGATTGAAGAAATAAAGGCCGAATCGCTGAGAGTGCTCAAGGACATATCAAAAAGTGAATATCAAGGGTGCTTCGAAAATTGGAAAAAACGCTGGCATAAGTGTATTATATCTGGGGGGGACTACTTTGAAGGGGACCACATTAATGTAGACGAATAAATAAATATTTTTTTGAAAAAACGAAAATTCCGGGTACTTTTTGAACAGACCTCGTATATATATATATCTTCTTCTTCTTCTATATATATAAAAATAAGTCGGGTTTTCTTTCCTGACGAAATAACTCCAGAACGCACGAACCGATTTCGACGAATTTTGCATTCGTTGGAAAAGTCTCGGGCTCCGCAAGGTTTATAGCTAGGAAAATTAGTGGTGCGTGGCATCGTGCCCTAATGCAAATTGCTGGAACTTCACGCACCGTAATTAAAAATTCGAGTAATAAAAATAATCAATAATTGTTTTAAATCATTGCAAATAGATTATCATTTATATATATAAAAATAAGTCGGGTTTTCCTTCATGATCAAATTTTTCCTTTTCAAATATAAAACAAACAAAAAATTTCTTCATCTTTCTCACGAAACCATCTGGTGGCGAAACGGAGTTCGTCGGGTTTGCTAGTATATATATATATATATATATATATATATATATATTAATTTTTAAAAACTCTTATTCTACATAATTTTATGTCATATTATACTTATTATAGTATTTAGTGTTCCACGTCATATTGATTACATACTTCATTTTATATTATTTTATTCAACGTTTTACAATATTTAGTTTTCTCAATCAGCTTTTTTATACAAAGTACCGAAATTCGATCTCGATAACTCTTTTGTACGAGTCGGGCACATTGCCATTATAGCCATGTTCGCCGCATATGTAATACACTGTTTTTCGTTAAGAGCTTTTTTATTTCGTTTTAAATCTGTTGCATAATCTAAAGTTCTATCATTATTAAAACTGAAAGTTTTGCGTTTGTTGGTATCGTGATTTGAGATTGAAACTCATTATTGATATTGGTAATCGTATCTAATTGCTATTGTGTTTTCTTATAGAATGTCCGTTACTAGTACTACGCCGTCGACTTCTGAGCCAGCGCTGGTTGCATCAGCATTGACCGGCAGCAACGCGTCGACCAGCGGCAGCACAGTTTTACCTGCTCATCCTATTGCTGTTCATGCATTAGGCGACGGACTTTTTCTGCAGACAAAAACCGCACAGGGAATTGCTGGAGTTTTTGTCGGTCTTGCCTTGTTCCTAACTTGCTCTCAGGTTCGTAGAATTTTTATGATCTTATTTTTTGACTGTTCATCTTTGTGCATTTGATACATAAAACGAAGGAAAATTCATACGCAGTTGACCAATATTATATTTTTAAATTTAATATCACAATTATATTTTTAGGAGACAATTTTACTACTGATAATAATAATTTGCATATTGTTTTTGTTTTAGTTTGCATAATATAAGTCTATTTAACACAGCTTCTATTATGTATTAGCATAACTTATGAATATGAAATTTTTTTAAACTGTTACTAGCAATGAGCTTAAAAAACTTAAGCAATTCAGTTCTAGTTGTGTTTCTTTCCTATGTTTCTAGTATATAAATTTTATTGGATCAACGTTATTTGCATGCAATGTAATAAAATTCAAATAATTCCTACTGCAAATATTTATAGTATTTCATAAAAGATAACCGCATATGAATTTTCTCTGCTAAGTACACTTTATTGCATGTAGTGAGCATTGAGTGAATATAATATTGAGAATCTAGTAGATTTTTCAGTTAAAATGGTACACTAACAAGTATACGTAAATCCAAAATTGAATTAAATAATATATAATGACATACTAACATGACATTCATAACATCATATGTTAAAACGGCATTTAAAATGCGCATTTTAAAAGTGCAAATGTTCATAACAAACAACTCATTTATAATCGACACGGATATGCATCTGATTTCACATATCCGTAATAAACATTTTGTGCGGTATAGGTATGAACTGTAATGTTATTTTTCTTACTGAAAACGTTTTCATTAATACGATTCAAATAATAAAATACCATATTGTATTGTCACGGACAGGTAATGAAATGGGAAAACGTAGTATATTGTTTGAAATATTTGTGACAAGCATTTCACGCTCGCTAAACACAATGTCCTTAGAGTGGCAGTGAACTAAATACCTGTTTTATTTGTTATTAATTTATGATATTGAATTACATGCCGAAAATTTTGTGACAATTACGGAGGAAGTTATATTGCTGTTTATATATCTTAAAATTTAATGTTGCGGAAGTTTGCGAATACTTATGTTTTGATTCTTATTGAAATAGTGAATTTTAATTACTACTATGAATAATCTTTTATAGCAACACCTTGTTAATTAGAATTGATATGCAGATCAAGATTCGCCTTTATAAAGTTCTTATTTTACAATTTAGTTATACAAATGATGTGAATTAGCTAAATCGAAATTAAATGCTATTAATATAGTTTTTGCTTACGATTAGACGTGCGTTATATATCTACTTCTAATGTGGCAAAAATAATGTTTATGGTGGCATGGGCGGCACATAGCATCACATATCTTATCAGTCGTTACGTTTATCTACCAGCTGTTATCAAAACACCTGGTATTGATCGAATGGGCTCAATGTGTATGGCTTCTATGGCTTTGCACACAGGGTTGCTCTTAATGTATTAAAAATACAAAACAGTCAAATTGCCGAATCGGCACAATTATTTATTATTTACTTATTTTACTTTACTTTAGTATTATAAAACTTAGATAAATTATTTATTGACAAAAAAAAATATGACACTTAATCAGTAAGCCATTTAACAACTTACTACATAGATAATATTCCACTTACATTATTACATTAGTATTAGTACATTGCTAATTTAAACACTTATTTTTTTATTCTTTTATATCCTATTCGATTCAATGTTCTATATTAATTTTTTTGCAAGTCTTTCAATATTTCACCTTCAAATTTTTGTTACGATGATCTTGAATTTAAATGTGTTTCGATATTTATAATAACTAGAAGTATATTAACCCTTTCTACTCGCGAATTCCGAGATTTATATAAATTTTGACGCCGGAGCGGCGGCATCCGAGTGGAAAGGATTAAATTAGCATATTTAGTATTCAGTTTTTTTGTACAAAGTTGGGTACCTTGACACATGCCAGTCGAGCACATTGCTATTACGGCTATGCTACCGATATTTAAAAAACTTACTTTAAATTGGTTATGCTCTTGTTTTATATATTCAATTTCAATAATAGGGCAGAATAAAACTATGGCTATGGATTACATCAATAACTTATGAAAAATTAACCCTTTGTTCTCGTTTGTCTACTACTCTTTTATCTTTTCGCTCGTATTTCTGCTTTCAGCCACCACAACATACATGCATTAATGCAGCATGCAGTAATTATAAAACATAACTTTTATACAAAAACATCTTATTAGATTAAGTGTATTTGAAATAAGATATATTTAAATTTCACACAATATCCAAAACTTGCGTGTTATGTATTTCTGCTGCCCTATCGACAGAAATTAATTCTGAGCAGTACGATACCCATCTCCAAATTTAATTGGAGGGCAAAGTGTTAAAGGAATGCAAAACGCCTGCGTTAAAGTATTGCAAATTTATTGGGGTTTGCAATCCGTTTTTCACATTACAATGCTCTTTTATTAATCAAATCATTAATATGTAATTACTATTATTTATGTACGAGTTAAACTTGTTATGTAGTCTATTTTATTTTCTCATTATTTTTAAATGAATTATCAATGAAAATATTCTGATTTTATTTTTAAGTAAATAAACTTGAAAAGATTACGTTTAAACTATGTTGATTGTATAAGAAGTGCAACAAAGTTTTTTGTATTTATCTAGTGAAACTATCGTAATTGGATTGTTTTTCTTTCATCTATTGTTATGCTCCTGTGCGACTGCGTAACTCGAAGAAAATATATTCCGCAATGTTTTCCTCGCAGATTTAAAGAGAATTCTCAATTATTCATGAAGAGTTAGAAGTGCATTCGCCGATACACTTGCGCGTTCATCATTTCTTCGCGTGTTGCTATCAAGATAAATAAAAGCTATAATTTGTATATTTTATGGAAATATTCTGTAATGACGCAATCACTCAAAAATAAACAATTTCTTTCCTAAGTGTGTCACATATAATTTATATTTAGTTTTTTCATTGCAGCAATTTTAATAAAATATGCCAAATAGAGATAGGCCAATCGTTGTAAGGAAGTATCATCACAATAGTTCTTCGGACTCTTAAATTCTGATTGCTTTTCAAATAAATATTGTAAAAATATACAAAAAAATGCAATTTAAAGATATTTTTCCTATTTATAAATTTAATCGTAACTTCTTTGTAGAATAGTGATTTCAAGTCCTACCGTTTTAAACCTATTTTACATAAATAATTCACTTTCAATTTGAATTTCAAATGTAATATGTGATTCAATAATATTCAGACGAGATCGCGTTTATATTTCCATCGATATTTTAAGCGGCAAACATATTTCTGCATTTTCTCGTACTGTTATTCATACAATCACGTCTATATATTTTATTTTTCCAATTTTTTGACATATTCTATTTTAGTCATAACGCAAGCGATATCAGTCTTTGATTTATCGCGCTGATATTTTAATGGCTAGCATAGATTTGCTTGTATGTTTTTTTTTATTTGGAATTATTAGTTATTTAAATATTATCCGTTTTAGTAATATGTACATTTAAGTCAAAACCTAGACGGCTTTTGGGTCGTCATGCTAAATAACTTAACTATGATTTTAAAATGAAATATAAAAACAGTTTTTATTAATTGGATTTTAAATGAAAATTGCAGACTTTTAGTAAGAACTCTATTATTCGATTATATTATCTCTTTTCTTTTCATACTCTTCTTTCATCTATGATGTTATACTAAATCTCATGTTTTTCGATCTGTTTTTTTCTTTTTTGAGTTTTGTATATTATTCTATTCAATTTTCTTCATAATAAACATGAAAAATTATCACTTGTTCGTTCATTTTCATAATTTTATTTGTTAATTTTCGTGATTTGAAAGTAAATGTTCAAATTTACTAAAGTGAGAGGCTATTTGGACCCGTCTTCGGAATTTTGAATTCAGCAATTTTTCAATTCATAATGTATTAATTGATATAAGCAGACTCGTTGTCTTGCAATATAATATATATTATTATCAGACATTTGGTGAGTATTTGTAATTTTATTATCTAGTAATTGGGGAGATTTAAGTTAAACCTACACTTTCTTTAAAACCTGGGACAACCCGGGATAAAAGATTTAAATCTGGGACTAATATTGCTTTTAGAAAAACCCGGGACAAGGTATAAATCCGGGAAATGCCGAGACGTATGGTTACTTTAGTTTTAGGGAATAAGATATTATTTAATTATTAGGTACGAATATCCAAAGTTGTAAAATCTAATATCAAAATTCTAAAATCTAATATCAAAATTCTAAATTCTGTAGATACATTTGAGTAACTGAAATTTTATAAGGTATTATTTATATTAGCATTTCTTCGTTGACTTCAATTAGTTTCTACTAGTTCTTTTTTTATAAACATGTACAAATAATGATATAAAAAACAGTAGGGAATAATTATATAAACAGTGAGAATAATCGGCAATCGAGATCTTTGTAGATTCTCTCTAGGGGTGCTACTATCATGGACTTCAATATACATAATTATTTGCTATCGTTAGCAAACACGTAACCTAACACTGATGAATGCGAGGTGCAATCCCTGACCTGGTTTTTCTCTGACCGTTCTTAGTAAACCATTTGCACGATATAATCTTTTAGTTTTAGTAGTTCAACATTATTTTTGCTTTTTTTATAAAAAAAAATATCTAGGTATTGTAGTGATTAATATTGATAACTCTATATTTTGATTGAAATTAAATCTATTTTTTTGTACAGAAGTCAAAACTTGTATTTGTAAAAATAGTCGAGCTTTGCAACTCTGTTCAATCTCCAACTTCACCTCACGCGTATGGATTCGCATTGTTCATATAGGCATGCTTAAATCGAATCATTTTTTAATATCTAATTGCGAGGAATGTTTTTGCAGATTTCTTAAAATATTACGACTTCAACATTTATAAATATATATTGATGCATATGAAAGTTATAAAATTTAAATTATTGACATATATACTTTCACTATTTTAAATTGCGTAAAACCAGCGACGGCAACAGGTTTGGTATCATTTTGGCGTCTATATCCCCAAGGCTGATTACAATATCACTCGGCATACTGACATTTTATATGTTTAATATTTTATCTAATGATTTTTTCTCATTTTAATTACAGCTAATGCGAAGACAAAACATTGTCCAATTTGTTTCATAATTACTTTTTATAGTACTGCTATAAAATGCTATTATGTTAATCATTCATTATCTATTATCTCAATACTATCAATTACTTAATACTATTTCTACTAGAAATCTTCTACTCTATTTTTGCAGCATTTATGGCTTCTCATGTTTTTTTATATTATCTTATGAATCACTATTTGTCTATTTCATGAGGACATTTAGTAACAATTACTAAATATCACTATTGGTAGTTTTAAACAGGTTAATTAGAAAGCAACCCAATGGTTGTCCTTTCTAGAGATGATTTTGTTATTACATACTTCAAATTAACACTTTTGACTTGCTTAGTTTTTCTTTTTGCAACAATGCCCAAAAAGTGTATTTTTATTTGGAAATACATTTTACGTTTCTAGTGAAAATAGATATCTCTACTACTTGATATCAGGCACCAAAAATAGAACCGTATGGAACAAAAAATATGTCAAAATAGAAAGGTTGATATATTTATTGTAAAGGTTATATATATATATATATATATATATATATATATATATATATATATATATATATATATTAGGGTGGTTCTTAAAATGGTCATTTTCGAATTTCCTTGCTCCCAGGGGCTCAAATGGTTCCAAATTGATAAAAAAAAACAATTCTCTGAAAGTTTTAGCTCTTAATATTAACGTTCAGATAGAGCGCAATTCAATCAAAGTTTGTATGGAAATAGCATGGCAAAAAATTTGAAAATTGAAAAAGAATTTTTTTAGGTATAATTTAGCGACAAATGAATTAAAAGTGAAAATTCGTGTCATTTTTTATTGAAAATTCGACGCTCTGCAAAATTTTTGAAAATTTTTCATGCTATTTCCATACAAAACTTTGATTGGATTGCGCTCTATCTAAAAGACAATAAAGAGCTAAAACTTTCAGAAAATGGTTTTTTATCAATTTGGAACCATTTGAGCCCTCGGGAGCAAGGAAATTCGAAAATGTCCATATTAAGGACTACCCTAATATATATCAAAATTAACTATTTTAAATATGATGTTTGATTTATATTTTAGATAACCAAAAAGCGGATTATATGTAGCACATATTTTTATTGAAAATTTATATTATGTAACTTCAAAAGCTTTGCGCTATTGCCATTGGAATCCAATCGCATTATAATTTCGATAAACTTCTGTGTCGGACTTTTATTTAAAAAAATAATTACGTTATCATCGACAATTTTCTATTTTTCATGAGCTTTATTTTGTTTGTTCTATTTATAAAAACTATTCATAAGATAGTATTATTCAAGTACTAGAAACGACATTGTACTTGCCACAATAATTTTACCTGTCATTCAACAGTATCCTTCGCAACATTTACAAACATCTCGGTAAATCCGTGACAGATAAATGCATTCGCGTCACAAAAGCTTGAAGAAAATGCAACGTTGCAAAATGGTGAAACGTTACTACCTGATGATTCCACATAACCTTGCGTCTACGATTTTTCAAAATATGATCTTTTTCTAAACTTTAAGCCAGTTGTTCTAAAAGATTCAAATTATATGAAGCATTTGGGTTGTAGAAGTTATTGCGGCAAATTCAAATTAATAAGTGGAATCACGATATAATTTTCTTAACATATAAATAATGTATGCTTAACCTTTTATTTTTTTTTCTTTTTAACTTTTTATTTGATCTAATTTTTATATACGTCATGAGCATGTATTATTGCATATTTTATGACTTCGTAATTATATTTTAGTTTTACTTTTACATTAATTTTATGTGCTGATTATTTATTAACCATATACATAATAGTAAATATTTGAGACGATCACTAAGTTAGTTTTTTTACGGTAAATGCGATTTAAAAACATATACTTTTATATCAAATATAAAGAGAAATCGATTTAAAACACAAGAGAATTCACATGATTAAAAAATGCAATATTATTAATTATTTTCATTAATAAATAAATATTTATACTCACAGGATTGGTCCCTCGTCATTACTACATTAATATTAAATATATTATAACTACTTAACGTGGTACTTGATTTATATTAATATTCTGTGATTTTTTTTTCATATTATATGAACAGAAAAACTTTAATTTATTAGCGATTGATTCAAAATTTTCTTATTAAATTAAAACTATTTCAAGACTTTACGATAAATAATGCCACCGTTAGTTATGTTAGATATGCATACAACTATAATTAGAAAATAAGATACAAAAACTAAATTCGTTCTTTGCACGCATCTGTTTTTCGTATATCTTTCTCAAGTATATTTGTTTGAATTGTATCAATAATTTACATATACTAATTATATAACTTGCGTTGGTGGGTACAATTATCTGGAACAATTTGTATTTGCATGCACTCTGCGTTTTCAGAGTGCGAACAAACACATCATGATTCATTAATGCAATCATAATCACGACCTTCTCAATACAATATCAATAAGTATGATGGTGACCAGGGTCCATTAAATTCATGCAATTTAAACATGATTTTTATTTGTTTTGTCCGATGAATGTAATCTGTCTACATAAATAGCATACACTTTTTCATCTCATGCACAAATATACAATGGTCAAATGTCACATGCAAACATACAATTTGAAACCAACAAATAAGATTTTTATCTGTATTTGTTCAATTTCTGGCAGAATATGACTCACTACTTTTTTATATTTCTCAAACTTTGGGATATTGAAATTTACTATTATTAATTTTAAATGCAATTGCAGCAATTGATAAAACTATATTTGAACAGTATTGTAAAAACTATATATAGTTCGTATTTTGTTTTTTTACTTTATAATATACCATGAATATTAGTTACTTAGTTTTGAGAAAGTAGTAGTCTAGGCAGGTATTATTAAATTATGTATAAATTTTTGTGATATATATTTTTCTCAAATTTGCTGTAGCAGTATTGACTTTATTTCAATTATCGGTAGTGGATTTTGTATGCAGTATTGTAATTTTTTCTGAGAATGCCGCAATACAGTTTGATATTCGCTGTCTCCGCATACGATTTTCAGAAATAGAAAGAGATAAGTATTGAGGGTTAATAATATTTTGTTAGTCATTTATAGGGGCATATAGAATTTTTCTGCGTGTAGTATTTCATATAAAGCCATGAATGGTGTGTATTAATGCTGAACTAATGTGCTTTCTGACTAGTCATCTCATGTTCGATATCTGTGTTATCAAAGTATATTAGCTGGCTTTTATCTCTGTATTTCAGCTGGCGGGATTCGAGTCAGTTTAAACGTATTCGCAGCTCGCTGCAGTAACATAACAGTGATACACAGATTGACACTTTGTTTAATTGTGGTTCCTGACAATAGTCTTGTTATAAAAACTATCAGATTTAAATCAAAATGAATACGATTAAGCCGTTTGTGGTTGTTGTAATATTAGTGCTTAGTTATGAGTGTTCTGCCGCCAAAAGAAGCAAAGACAATGGTGAATTAATTTTTGCACATGTAATTTATCGTCACGGGGACAGAACGCCAATTGATCCATATCCTACAGATCCTTGGAACGACCCTAAATTTTGGTCAACGGGATGGGGACAATTAACGAACATAGGAAAACAACAACATTTCGAACTTGGAAAATATCTTCGAGCGCGCTATGATGGTTTGATATCGGATCATTACAACCGTGAAGAGGTATTCGTGCGTTCCACAGACGTCGATCGCACGCTTATGTCTGCTATGTCAAATTTGGCAGGTTTATATCCACCTGTTGGGGATCAAGTTTGGAAAAAAGATTTGCCATGGCAACCTATACCTGTTCACACCGTGCCTGAAAAGCTCGATAGTGTGTTGGCATCCAAAAAATATTGTGCCGCTTATGATGACGAGTTAGATCGCCTGTTACATAGTCCTGAATACAGAAAAATTGATGCTGAGAATGCTGAATTGTACAAATACTTGACAACTCAAACTGGACGTCTTATCAATAACATCGAAGGTGTCGAACGCATATACAACTGCCTCTTCATTGAAGAATTGTACAATAAAACACTCCCTGACTGGACGCACAATGTATACCCAGACAAAATGATTAACCTTTCTACTTTGAGTTTTATGTCGTACACTCGAACTGATTTACTTAAGAGATTAAAGACTGGTCCACTCCTCAAAGAGATATTCCTTCGTTTTAAAGACAAAATCCACGGAAAGCTGGCGCCAAACCGATCGCTCTGGATCTACAGCGCCCACGACACTACGGTTGCCAACGTGCTGAACACATTGGGTGCCTTTAAGCCACATAATCCGCCGTATACTGCATGTGTAATGTTAGAATTGAGGAAACGAGCCGGCGAGTACTTCGTCGAATTGTATTACCGCGCTGACGGGGTAACAAATCAGTTGAAATTGGAGCTGTGCGGCGATACATGCCCCCTTGATAAAGCTTTGAGATCATATGCGCACCTCTTGCCTTTGGATTGGGACCGCGAATGCAGTACTTCGACGCGCCTGTTAGGCCTCGTCGGTGTAGAAGGAGACAACGCTGATTTATTTGCAGCGATTGGCGTAGTAGCAGGCGCTGTTGTGATTGTCACTATGCTGGCCACAATCCTTTTGTTGGTAAATCGTAGGCGCATTGGCGACCAGCATATTTCCAGGCACCGATATACGAGAATAGATTCTTGATGTGAAGAAGTCTCCACAAGCGGTGTTTTGTAAACCTCTTGCATATGGAGACGTTGTGGAAGGAAAAAAAAATAAAATAAATATTTTCATTCTGGAACAACTTTATATATATAACATTTTTATAATATTATATCAAACATTATATTAATGTTTTACGTATATATTTTTTAAAACTTTTTATTATGTCCTTTGCTGTTTTTACTGTATGTTAATATGCATTTATAATATTAGATTTTGTATAGTATAGGGATTTTGTACATGGTTTTTACGTGTTTTAATATTTTAAAACTAAATTTATAAGATTTTCCCATATTAATATCTATGCATATTAATAATTATGTATGATGCATTGTATGTAATACTGTCAGTGTACAATTGATGTAACATATTGCGATGTAATATATATTTTTGCTTTCATTGAAATATCTGGTTTTAATAGGAATGGATAATTTGAAAATAATTTTTTTTTGCCTAATCGTAATGTTGACATAACTTAGCACCCAATGCATTAAAAATGTAAATCAATTGTCATAGCATATATATGTAGAATGACTGTTACAACAATGTTATATTTAATTTTTCCAATGTATAATTTTTGTGTAAGTTTTAGTAAGTTATTTTATACAATAATTGTTTTTGACGTAATTTAACACAGTATTAAAAAAACTAAAAAAGTAACTCGTTGTTAATTAAAAATGTTCTATCATACTCAAATATCATATTCGCAAACAGTCCCGAAAATATAAATTTACCCGATACATTTTATCTTACTTTTATTAAATTTGAAAGTCGTCGTCTTGATAAACATGCGTGATATTTGTTTAATTTGCAAATTAGCGGTTAATAATAACAAATCTGTAAAACAACTCATTATTTATTTAATAACAAAATTCCTGTAATTCATTATATGAATGCTGTAAATGCTTTTCGCATGGAATTTCACATTTATGTTAAGAAATTTCTTAGATTTAGAAAAATGGGTTTTTATGGCTGCTTTACTTGTCCGAGTAAAACTAATTTTTTAGTTATAAAAGCTCGAAATTCACGTTCATAAGAAGTTTGAAATCAAGTTTATGAATTGATCAAATAACACTTTTCCTTTTTGAAACAAGAGCAATGGTATATTGTCCGAAGGTAATCTAACAAATGTGCATTGCCGTAGTGAATTTTTTTATAACTAACTGTTTTTGCTGAATATGTCACATACAAATTATGCGCGGTATACTTATACAAAATATATTGATACGGTCTGTTTAATTCAATATGTTATAAATTTGTGTGCTAAGATTCTAATTTTACAAGTTTTGCGAATCGTTATTTCTTATGTGCATGTGTCTTATGAGCAGAAATATTTTTTAAGTCGTAGTTTATGAAAATTCATCCGACTCTCCTCATGCATGTATCATTTAATATAAATTGAGATTTGATCTATTCATATTTTTGTACAGTTTATTAACAAATAATGACATGACGTAGTATGCTTACTAAATATGTATATTCAAATTTAATTTACACATTTCATTAAAACTTAATTACCACATATTACTTTTTATTGTTTTGATAATTGTGAGAATTTGAACGACACTGAAGTTAAAATATTTGTGAAATACAATTATTAAGGAAGAGCAATATTAGTTATCGCACTTTTACTATATTTCTTCGACAATCCGAACGCTGTACTCCACGTTACATATTTTATTAATGTTGAAGAAAGTTCTACATAATTACGATCAGTGAACTACCGTAACAGCACGAATTGAAATTTACTTACTAACCTCAATTTTTCAATTAGTTACATTAAATATATTTATAATTGCGCGAAAAATGACGTTTGCAAACTAGGATGCTTCAATTTGAATTTTAAACCAAGTCAGAAATTAGTTCAAAATTTCAACCAATCGTTATATCTTTGATGTGATAAATAGTATTTCTCACTTTTTTGGGTATGCTGCATTTGCATTTTCAGCTCAGAAAAATAATATTAAATATAGTTTCTTGTGAAAAGTTCAAGAGTGGTTCATATCATAATTAGAAGGTAAGTTCTCTATTTAACCGCGAGAGAATACTAGATAATTACTAAATTCGTATCAATTTTTTTTGACATATTTTACTGTTTATTTTGAAAATAGTTTTTGTTTTCATACAATGTCATGTATAATATTTCATTAAATTAATCCGGTTTTATTTTAATTCTTCTGTAATATATTCTTATGTTAAGAAAGAAGTAAAATTTAGTGCGACACAAAAGTGTGCGCACTGTTCGATGGGAGCGCCACAGTTAACTGGTTAAATGGAACTTATCCCTGTTTCTATAGAATAAAGTATTTTGAATTAGGTGTATTTGGCACTTTCATGTATGGTGCAAATTTATGGTAACTTTATAAATAAGCCGCAGTCGTGTATGAAATAGGTTTTCGCAGTTCGGAATGAAGGCATATTATCCACTGAAGCATATGACCCGACTCTTATAAAGTGAAATGTTGCGCAAAAGATGAATTCTCACGATACATCTATCCAGCTGTACCGTATATTCGTTAAGACGAACGCTGGAGAGCTCTCTACACGTTATACTCTGATACTTTAGCATTATTCGACCTCTCGGACTCTCGAGACTTCATAATAAATATTCGATAAATCACAATGATGCTATGGACAAGTATCTTCTCTTGGTAACCAACGAGTTAAACAAGAATGATTATACAATGAATCGATTTTAGTTTAGATTGTACAAACATAAAGTAAATCTTTATAATTTCTAAATACGTATCTAATAAATAATCTCGAAAGTAGTTTGATCTATTTTATTAACAATAAGACAATTTTTCTAGGAATTTATAAAATTTTGAATATTTAAGTGTTAATCAAATTTATTGGTTACGTACTTTGTCAGAAAATCGAAAAAATGTTTTCTTCTTTATTTTTATATGTATGTATATATTTTGTTGAAATCAACCCTAAAGCTGTATTATTACAAATCGCTATTACAAAATGAAAATACGTGTACTTTGACTTCAAAATTCTATTATACAGAAATATTTGAAATATTTTTTGTTGAAATTTTATGAACGTGATTTTTATGTCTAATCAATGTTTTACATACATATTTCCGCAGCAGAGTTCTTTTTGTACTTGAAAACATATCTGATACTGGTATCTGATATCTGCTACTTGACTGTAGATTGGGATTTGAACCTGAAAACCTTGTGGGTACGAGGTTGAGGTTTTTAACCACTTGCGTGATGTATCCCCCGTTTTCTAAAGTATTTAATAGTGTTTTTCGGCATCTAGCAATTGCTATGTTAGATAGTAATCATACACACTTATTATAAATACCTAAAATATTGCTTTTGATGTTAGTGCTGGGCCGTGCATTATCGCGAATGTTAAAAGGTCATTGTATTGCTAACTATGAAATTAATGCAAAATTTATTATCAGCTAATGTGTGTATAGACATTTTATAGGTCTGTAATTTATTGCATTTGATAATTTTATCAATATGCTTTGTCTCCGGTGCGTAATAATACGCGACCGTTTTTATTTACCTGAGTGTGGTCATTGACTTGACACCGAACTATTATCAACGGTAGCGGTTCTCTATGAACTCATTTCAAGGTTCAATTTTAGCGTTGGAAACTATGCTTATTGATTGAACTGACATTGAAATACTATTGGAATATGAAATTTATTAATTATTTAGAAACCATCTTTTAATTTCCAATATTGTTTTTTAGTTGTTTGTGTATGCATGAAAAAGAATGTGTCAACATATGATGCTTTTATAAAAACACATTGTACACACAAAAAACACACACGCACAAAGATATATATATATATATATATATATATATATATATATGTATATGTATTAAATGGTAGAATCTTGGATTTGTGTATATTTTGCAGAGTTTCGAACAAGAATCCAAAAGTAATAAAAAACAAGAAATGTTTTTAATAAACAATTTCTTTATTTATTTATTTATTTACTGTCGACGTTTCGGAACTAGGTACGTTCCATCTTCAGGACATCTGTCAAGAAACATGATCTTGATGAGATTTCAGCAAACAATATGTTTAAGAAAAGAAAATGGATTTTTCTTAAATAATAAATTAATTGAAAAACTAATAATGTACAGAAATGTGATAATATGATCAAAATGAAAATGATAAAAATAAATAAGTGGATTATCTAACAGGATATTAAAAATGATAACATTTTTAAAAGTTATAGAAATTTTTTAGAAAAGGTTAATGACAAAATTGAATTAATTACTTGTATGTATGAATATATCTTAGCACTTTTTTGTTACTTTTGGATTCTTGTTCGAAACTCTGCAATATATATATATATATTAGGGTGGTCCTTAAAAAGGTCATTTTCGAATTTCCTTGCTCCCAGGGGCTCAAATGGTTCCAAATAGATAAAAAACAATTCTCTGAAAGTTTTAGCTCTTAATATTAACGTTTAGATAGAGCGCAATTCAATCAAAGTTTGTATGGAAAGAGCATAGTAAAAAATTTTAAAATTTAAAAAAATGTTTTAGGTATAACCTAGCGACAAATGAATGAGTTTTATTCATTCATTTGTTCGGTAAATTACATCTAAAAATCATTTTTTAAATTTTTGAACATTTTTTCATGCTATTTCCATACAAAACTTTGATTGAATTGCGCTCTATCTAAACGTTAATATTAAGAGCTAAAACTTTCAGAGAATTGTTTTTTATCTATTTGGAACCATTTGAGCCCCTGGGAGCAAGGAAATTCGAAAATGACCATTTTAAGGACCACCCTAATATATATATATATATATATATATATATATATATATATATGATTTAGTAGTTAATTTTGATGTTGAAATATATGAGTGAGTTCTTGAGGGCGATACATCAAACAAAGAAAAGCCAAAGATTTATAAAATAATCTTTATTTCCAAACGTTTCGACATTCAATTTAATGTCATCATCATATATATATATATATATATATATATATATATATATATATAAGTAAAATATAAACTATAAAACATTAACTTCTAGTTATTTGTTGGAAAATGAACAATATATTTTTTTACAATAATTTTTCATCTTATCTTTAGCTTTAATATTGAATTGACGAGAAATGCATTTTTTGAAATCTCATGTATTTACATTGTAGCAATAATTTTTTCAGACAACAAAAATTCTCATATTTTGAATTATAATATTTGTAATTCAAATATATAGACGAATTTATTTTGTTAGCTTATAAAATTATTGGTGCTTGACCATAGTGAGTGGCGCACGTGCGCAATGATCAAAAATTTCGCTAAAAACATTCCACTTTTGGATCAAGGCCCTCTTTTTATGCTAAGTGTGGAGTTTTGTTAATACTAAATTTTTGCAATTGTCTTATTGTTTGCAGATATATCATCACCTGCGCTGGTACACTAACCCAGCCGAACAACGATGGATCGTGCGAATATTGTTCATTGTTCCCATATACGCGACTTATTCGTGGATCAGTTTGCTGTTTTTTAATAGCGAAAGTTATTACGTGTACTTCTTCACAGTCAGGGATTGCTATGAAGGTTTGTATTCGATTTTTTTGCCGCTTTACGCATAAATATAGCATTACAACATCTTTTTGCATTTTAGAAATGTTATTTTTATTACTTGCTGTGGAAATTTCACTTTTGATGAAAAACACATTTTTATTATGGAATTTTGTAGTCGCGTGAAAAAATGCAATTCTTTACTTTTGTTTCGCTAGACCGAAAAATTACTAGCAGTTGTTAATTAGTACATATTTATCGGTAAAGTATCGAAAGCTGCAAACTAGATTTTTAGTTAAAAGCTATTGTTTGAAATTATATGTTGGGAATGGATATATTATGGCTTAGATATGTATAATTTGTAACATTTGTGAATATACTTTACTTTAGATGCAAGTATACACGTATATGTATGTGTTGGAAAATGAGTATTGCAAACAATATTGAGAGAAATAATATTCAATAAGTAATAAGGCACGCTTAAGTATGTAACTCACGGCAGTATTACTTTGAATAACAAGATTTGACTTTACTTTTTAAACATAAAATTGTTAATAATGGGCGCGTTATTATGAACATATATTTTTTATGAACTCTACAATTAAATGAAAATATGTTATATATATTTTATCATATCCTTATATGAATTTTTCATTTCAATAAAAACAACTTATAATTTATACTGTGTTATTGGTCTTCATATAACGCCATAGCACAGTTTCCATACAGCATGATAGCAAGTTTCCATAGAACGCACTACGAATTCGTCTGGATTGTACATTAAATTCGTGTTTTTTTATAGCACGGTCCACATACTACACGGTACACACTTGCTGTGTTAACAGAGGGTTGATTTACTTAAGTAGTAAATTTCATATACAAATAATATGAACCGATAGCAATAACGTGAAATAGAAACAAACAAAATTTCTACTTGATTTCATTTCAATGTCGATACAGCTCTGTACCCATCAGCAAATAACCTCATTGAACCCAAGGTTCAGATTGGTTATAAGAAATAAATTTAAAAAAAGTCGATAATTGTCTAAATAAATTATTATCTTTTATCCAAATGATTTGACATACATATTTATTACAATAAATATTTTTTATATAACTACGATAAATATAATATATTCCACAGCTTTCGTGATATACAATTTCTTGAGCTTGTGCTACGAATATTTGGGAGGCGAAGGAAACATAATGAGCGAAATCCGAGGAAAACCGATCAGGTCGAATTGTCTTTATGGGACATGCTGTCTGGTTGGGAAAAATTACACCATAGGATTTCTGCGATTCTGCAAACAGGCTACTTTACAGTTCTGTTTAGTGAAGCCGGTTATGGCCTTTGTCATTATATTCCTGCAGGCATTTGGACATTATCACGATGGTGATTGGAGGTGAGTTAATTAAATCATTTCATAAATTTATACATTGCACATAAATAAAAAATTAGATACAAGTGTAGATATATCAATCGATTAATTGATATATATATATATATATATATATATATATATATATAATATATATTATATATATATGTATGTATGTATATATATATATATATATATATATATATATATACGTAAAATTTAATATTACATCTATCCCCGCTTTGCACGGAAGATAGATGCCATAAAAAACGTGTAACTCGAAAAATTCGCTCTTATATGGAAAAACTGTGTTAATTAAAAACACTATGAAAAAGCCCTTTTTGTCAGTTTTTAATTTGGTATATAACAAACGAAAAATAAATATTAATATTTTAATATCAAACACATTTAATAAATTATAATAATTTTAATTTACTGCAATAATAAAAAATAATTCTGTTATTTGCTCACCTTGAATAAATTTACGTTATCAATTATGTATAAACACTAATTAAAAACAAAGTTTAAAAATATTGATGATCTTTGCTTTGGTATTTCAAACGAACTAGGTTATACACACATAAAAATTAGTTTTGATCATATAACGGGATGTTCCCATGTTATCTACATATTTTTATCATAGACATAGACTACTAAAAATTTGTAATTGTAACATATAATTCTTAATGTTGTATTTTGACAGTAAAATAATGAAAAAGTTATTGTAGATATAAAGAAATTGTAGTTTAGGATTTTTGAAAAAAATATTTTAAATAACCGGATAAGACCTAAGGATAGGTGTATATTGTATATACATATAAATTTGATTATATTGAAACAGATCTAATGCAATTTTGGAGATGTGATTTGAATCTTTTATGTGCATAATTATAGACTGCTGTTCATGGTTCAGAATGCAGAATATTTTAATAAATATACACTTTGATAGTGCATGCACAAAATATACTCAATACAATATTATTTATTTAATCACTTATATTATGCATAATGTCAATTAATATTTCAGTGCTGACGGTGGTTATATCTACATCACGATCATATACAATATCTCGGTCAGTCTTGCATTGTATGGTCTGTTTTTGTTCTATTTCGCTACAAGGGATCTTCTGACGCCTTTCGAACCAGTTTTGAAATTCTGCACGGTGAAATCTGTGATTTTCTTATCGTTTTGGCAAGGTTTGTCATATCATATGTTTTTTCGCTTTATCTGCAAATATAGCAACAATATGCTGTTCGTGCATATTTATAATTCATTATCTGTTTATATAGTTTTGTTTATAAGTACTTTTTCACTACTTTACGTTTATTTTAATATTAACAATCTTTGTTATTTAGCTTTATTATCGTACTCACGTGATGAGATACACAATAAAACAAAATGATAATATGGTGTTCTTTAACGCATATTATTACCACGTGTGATTGATTATAATTTGGCTTATTTAGTTCATTATGAAGTATTTAAGGTTATAGTATTTTTGATAGAGTATACTTACTAATATAATAATTTTGCTTTAATATATTTTTTGTTTGTTTGATCGAAGCTATCAAAATACATAATAGATAAACTATACCTGAGTGAAATTGATTTTTCTATGTTACTATGTTTTCTGTTCCTGTATTTCATGCGTCATCAGCTGTTTAGAAAATCAATTATTGATATTCATTGATAAGAAGTTACTTCTAACGCCGTTATCACGCTCAATTATCATTCATTCATTTTATTTTTGTTAGCGTATATATAATTTTTGAAAATATATTTCATACAAAATATATAAAATTTGAATTATACTAATTGGTAGATGTAAATTTGAATTAGAATTTGAAATTGACAATGTCACCTCTATGCTAGTAAATATTTTCGATGCTATATGATTTTTTGTAAAAAAGAGTTTATTACAATTATAAGACCGCGACATGATTTGGAATTTCATGTACATATAAGAACTAAAATAAACAGTTTATTTGAATAGAAGTACAGTATATTGAATTAGTTTAGTCTAAATGCCCATAACAGACTGTTTTTCTGATACGGTTTAATATCTTATTCTCTGATTGTAGTAAAAGTTATTATTGCACGTAATTTGCCTTTGGATTTCCATAATATGTTCTCTGTAAGACATACTTTGATCTAAAAGTTATTTCAATTTGTTTATTAAAAAATCAATTGCAAATATTGTATTAAAAAATATATATCTAAATATCAGATATATTAAATATTCAATTCGATAACCAGTTTACAAATTGTGAATCCATTAAAAATATTGTTTTTGAGCTATTAATAATGTGTTAATAAATTTAGGCGTAGCATTGGCCGTATTGGAGAAAGCTGCAATCATCTCACCAATTGTAGATGATTCTGGTTACCCGACATCAGCAGGTACAGTGTCCGCCGGATATCAGAATTTCCTGATCTGTATTGAGATGTTCTTCGCAGCCGTAGCGTTACGTTATGCCTTCCCTTACCAGATTTATGCACAGGGTTGTATTACAGATACGCACGGCAGGTCTGTCACTATGCAGTCAATCAGTAGCAGCCTAAAGGTTAGTAATGGCATTTGTTTTTAATTGAAATAATTATTAAAATTTCTGGATCGAAGTATGTGTGTATGTGCGCGTGTTCGTGTGTATGTGAGCCAAAATTTGACTTCTAGTCGACGTTTTCTCAAAAACGGCTTCTTTAGAAATTTAAAATCTATGTTTTGTAATTCGATAGGAATTCGCGTTTATTAGTTTACCACGAAGATCTGTCGAGAAAAGTGTAAAATTTTTCGTCTACGTTTTAACCAAAAATTCCGAATCAATTTTAAAATATCAAAAAATGTTTGAAAGATATCAATTGCAACTCAAGTGCTGAATATGTTTGGCCGTTTCTTCGTCATTAATTTTTTTTTGACGATTTTGATGAAACTTTATATGATAAGGTTTAGGTCTTAACGAACACCATGTAATACCATATATATACATATATATATATATATATATATATATATATATATATATATATATATATATATTAGTGATGTGCCGACTCGAAAATTTCCTGATTCGAGTGATTCGAATCAGAAAAAAACCTGATTCAATCATTGATTCGAATCAATTCGAATCAAGTTCATATATGAACAATTATAATTTAAGAGAGGAAATATCATTTTAATAATTTTATAAGTGAAATAATTAATTTAGTAAGCAATTAATTCCAAAAAGTGCAGAGATGAATACATTTATATTATATATATAATAATAAACTAGCTACAAATATAACTAATATTTCAAGTGAATTCACAGTAAAATATAACCAAACACTTCTCTATCATTAAAGCATATAAAACAATATTCTTAATCTTATGTTGAACGAATGCATGTGAATATTATTGATTGTTTAGATCTAATCTAAACAGGGAGCTGAATCTAACGTCTTACGAATGACTTAAAATTCAATCCACTACTGTAAAGATTGATATTATTTCATTTGTGTGAATTTGCCATTACTTGCATAATTAAAATATGATAATTTTGTATGTGTATGAAACTCGTTGTGTAGTTTATTTTGATAATAATTAAAATCTAAATCGCGTATTTATTATCTAAATGAGTTTTTGATATTTCATGAACAAATTTGCTCTCAGTGCTTAGTCAAAAATAAAAGAACATTCAAGACCCATACGCACTGCATCTCGATAAGTCGATACGCTAAAACACGGACACATGTTTCGAACTCAAGTCGGAATAAGTCGGTTTGAGTCATAGGAACTCGGATGATTTCATTCCGACTTGAAGTCGGAATGAGTCGGTTTGAATCATAGGAACTCGGATGGTATTGTTAGACAATGAATGCGGTTAAAGTCATATAAATTGGAGTCGGTTGATACATTTAAGCGTATTATTAAAGCCGGGTGACTCGCATGATTTAATTCAAGATTTATTTTTTATATTTATTATTATTATTTTATATATTTATCATTATTATTATTTATATTATTATAATATTGAATTAAATTAAAACATTTTTTTATATTTATGAAAATTTGTGTTCATACATGTTTTATCACAGTAAATATTTCGCGGCTTGATACGAGTTGATTCGAATCATGTAAAATCTGATTCGAATCAAGTCGTTAAAGGCTTAATTCGAATGATTCGAATCACTTGATTCGACTTGGCACATCACTAATATATATATATATATATATATATATATATATATATATATATATATATATTATGGGCCCAGGAAAAGTGATTTTAATTATAAGAATGTATTAAGAATGAGGATAATGGGCCACATCAAAATTTCAAAACTGAATTCTTGTTTATTAAGCCTGGTTATTTATACACATATTGGAAATTTTGTGGAAGTTGTATATTTGTTTTAGAGATTTTATCTTATTTATATAATAATCATAAATATCTATTAAATTTTTAATAATAAAAAATTATATTTATTAAATTGTGAAATACTAGTATTCAAAGCACATCAGTTGTAAAACGTATCATTATTTATATCAATTCATTTTTTTTTTCAATAGAAATAGATAAATAATAGTATTTATTTTAAATACTTTTTTTACATTAGCCTAACAATACTTATGTAAAGGTATCAGATAGTAAACTCATTTACAATATATAATTTTCAAACGTATGTTTTACAAATAATTTATATATAAATGTTTTCTGAATATTATCCTTTTATTCATTTCTACTCTTACTTTACAGGAAACAATGAATCCTAAAGACATAATGACAGATGCCATTCACAATTTCCACCCACAGTACCAGCAGTACACCCAGTACAGTTCTGGTAAGTTTTATTAATTTACTACAATGGCATGTAGCATGGTGCACTTTATTATTGTTGATGTTCTCAATTATTATAGCAGTACCAAAAATCAAGCTTGTATTACTCCATTCTTATTATTTCGTGATTTGTTGTCAATTGATCATAGTTTTGGATGATTGCCATACTTTTTTTTTAAATAATCTTTTTGAAATTATATACGTATTATGAAGTATGTTGTGAAAATTACATGTTTTTGAATTTGGTATAGATTGTCATTTGTGGGCAGTTGAAAGAAAGATTAAGACCAATTTTATATTAATTACACAAATATAAATGTTGCATTTATATTGTTGGTATTTATGCAATGTTTGTTTTCTCCATCTTCTTATATTTTTATGCTATTTCAATTAATTTCATTTGCTATTGATTATTTTGCCCATATTTGATTTGAATAATTATGCATCAGTATTATTAGTTTTTAAATTTTGAATGAATTAATTGACTCCATTCACAAATCATCATTTAGTTCATTAAACAATGCTGCACTATAAATATGTAAAGACACATGTATTCCAATTCCCAACTAAAAACATTGAGGACAATATTTAAAATGAGAACTGCACAAACAAGGACACCATGCGTTTATGCGTAGAGAGTGGAAGTTTTTCCAAAGGGCTCGACTGCATATGTGATATTTGTTCATTACAGAAGTGACTTCTAATCGTCCGTACGAGAAGCTTTGAAAGTCTCAAATGAATTTGTATGGGTGTTACTATTGGACCTGCCACTAAGTGCCTGCTTCACATAACTCTAGCTTCTCAAATAGCTAGCTCACATTATCCAATAATCAACTCTTGTAACAACCTCATTTTAGTTTATCTGATGCATGAGAAAAAGGTTCACAATCAAAATTAATAAGCAATTTAACAAATATGCAGTGATAATTATGAATGACACAATGTAAATGACTTTATTTTGATATAAACTCCATGTAGAATTTCACATGGATTATTATGGGTGCTTATATTTATAGCTTTTTAAAATATTTGTTTTTGGCACAATTAGCCATTAACAGGTAAGTATTTTAAAGTTTAGATTATTTTAAATTAATTTTAAGTTAGTTAATTGACAATTTATCTGTAGATTATAGGTGTATTAAATTTTGTTCAATTTAAATGCAAGAATACATCTTATGACTAGTTTTACTTTTGTATTATAAAATGCTTTGCCTAATTAAGAGAATTTTCAAGCATTTACATAATTTGAAAAAATGTATTATTGTATATTTTATTCTTGGATTGATCTTATAAAAAGCATTACATTTACAATTAGTGCCTTGTGTGGAAAAAATGTGTGAATTATTGAGTACTTAATATTGTGCTTATACTTTTTGTTTGTATGATAAGAATTTCAAGTTTTAACTTAAATACATTAGCTTGATTATTATTGTGAACAATATTCTTATCATTCATTTCAGTGAAATTATTGAAAATTGTTGGATTATAATTCTACAGATCGTATATATTCACGAGGGCCAAAACTTGCCACATGTGAATGATTTGCCGAAGATAAATTTATGACAAATATACGATGCAATGAATAATATAATATTAAAATAAACTTTTATAAGCACTGCATTAAGTATTGAAAATTCATGTAAAAATTTAGTATGATTGAAAATGTATATGGTTTACTAGTTAATTGTATAATTGCCGAACTATATCAATGATATGATCAATTACTTCGAACAAAACCTTCTGTTGGATAGAATATTAATTATAGGTTAGAATTAGAATTTATCGTACTTACAACTATCTCTGATGTGATTATTAGGCTTTGAGAATTTGATTCTTGTTTACAAAATTTGTACCATATTTTTATTGAAATGACTCCATTCGAACAAATCTAATTTATGATTGTTATACTTTCGTTTTTTTAATAATATAACTATTAGTCATATTTTTTAATTTTTATATTCTGTTCTTTACAAACTAATAAATGAACTTTTTTGATAAACTATTTTACTTGAGTTTGTACTATGTATTATACCTTTGATTTTGATATAATATCTAGACTTTTTAGGTAGAGAGCATGTTTTATTATGGAAATGGAAAAACCTGTATTATTTCTGTCTGAGGTAAGCTTTTTGAAACGCTTTAGCCTTTTATTATACTTACTTAAAACATGTTAAAAAGTATATATACATATATATATATATTTATATATATAAATATATATATATATATATATATATATATATATATATGCATGTAGAATCATTTTTACTCATTGTGCATTACAAATTGCATGAATCACTTTAGTTGTAAGAGAATGCAATGCTTCCAGTTATTTTTTCTTGAAATGCTATCATGATGATAATTTCTTTATGGTTCATGCTAGATGTAACTTATACAAAAATTGCAGAATTGTAAATGCTTATTTGGCATCATTTCTTCCTAAATATTTTGTTAAATTTCAGAGTTTTGGAAAGGACATTTTAAACAAGAAACACAACTTGGCATGCATTTTAGTAGTGTAATATATACTTTTTAAATGCCATGTCTGATTTAGTACATAATATTATTAACAATGTAGTAATAATTTTGTATGCAAAAAGTTGTTGAAACAATAATTGCGACATTTTGCTTTTGATTAGAAAGTAAAAACTACTGTATTCTTTACATTGCAGTTTTCCAAATAATTCAAGATTTAAATACAATATTACTATTAATTTTTGTTATTAAATATTTTATTGAAATTGATAATTATTGAATAAAATATATATTATTTTGATGTAATTTATGTGATGCAAATTAATCAGATCGAAAACTTGAGCTATATTAGTTTTGTATAATTCAATCGAAATCAAGTTATCTGTAAAAATAATTTATCATTTAATTGAAAAAGATTGGAACAAACTTTGATATTTTTGATAGTCAAATTAACTTTAATAATGGTGGTTGTGCAGTTTTCTTTGCAGCACTTAATACATTGGCAGAGCGGTAGCACAATTCATTGTAGGTAAAGTTTGATGGAACTTAACAGCATAAAAAGCAAATCTGGTGAAGCATTTAGATTTTCAGTAAACACTAATAGTCAGCACATGCCAGCAAATTTCTGGACAATTTTATATCAAAACTTTAAATATGTTACGGTTTGAATTTTTTGGTAGCATGACTGGAAACAGTATTTAGTTTTTCATTTTGGTTTTCTGAGGATTGTCTTAAAATAACTAAAATCAAAACGCAGAATATTATTTACTATTGTAGAAATTCAACTCCTACCTAACCAGTAGCATGTCACCTGTTTTCAAAAATTATCTAATTAATACTGATTTTTATCCAAACAGGAGGTGGTAAACATTCACGTGGCTCTCGAGTAGCTTCTCATGACCCTGATGAGCCAGTTTCAACAGGATATGGGCCTACACCAGGTGCAGATACAGAACAGCATGTTCAGAAAAAATCACAACCGGCCAATCAACGCGTGGCGACTATCAGCAACAATTATAATGAAAAGACTATGCTCTTAAGCTCAGATGATGAATATCAATAGACTGATTTTATAGTTAATCCAATCACCCACTCCCCATGTGTTTATAAATTATATTTTATTACATGTAGATAGCCGTATATAGAGATTATTTAGTGAGTGGCTATTGCGCGTACCTGTCATTATATCAGGAGAGTTGGTATATATTTTAGATTATTCAGAAATGGAGTAAAGCTTCAAGCTTGATTCGGATTATCAGTGTAGATATCAACAGATGGCATTTTTGTAAAAAGATGGAATTGTTTTTATTGTGGAATTAGGTCTAAATTTTGCACTTTTCATTACATTTTCATTACAACAACTTGCTTATGATTACTCAATTGTTTTATGCTGACTTGCTATTAGATATGTGTTAACTAGATATTGGCTTTTAATACTTTGCAAAAGATTTTGTTTTTTGTAATCTTTAAAGATGTAAGGGATCCTTCTTTAAAATAACTTTGAATGCACATTTTTATGTCATACTAAACGGTGCTAATGTTAATAATATATGAAGATGCTTCCTAAAATGAAATGATCAAATTTTTTTTCTCATGCCAAAAATTAGCTCGATTTAAAATAGTGTATTGTTTTGTTATATAAATTGAAACATTGTGTTTCAAAATGCTTTTATTTTTCTAATTAATTATTATTTCCAATTGTTTATTTATTTATAATAAATACTTATACTAAAATATCTAAATGAAAATATTTAATTCTTGAAAATATGATTTTGAATTGTAATCTTTCATAAATATTATATATTTTTTTATCATTTTAACATTCTCTATGTTTGATAGGATTCTCTATGATATGCACTAACTCTTGGAACCTATTTACCTATAATAGCAACAGTTATCCTAAAACATGTATGTATGATTAAAGACCATTGCGGTTAATTATATAGAAAATATCTAAGCTTGTATAGATTATGGTTTTAAATTCTAATATAAGAAAATTTCAATAATGTTAGTACGTTCAATGATCAACGGCACTATTGTAACCTTTTGATATACATTGCTTTTTACTTGCACATGGTGTAAGTACTTCTGTCTTCCTATTTCAATGTGCTTATTATAATTTACATGTTTTAAATTTTTTTTGTTATGTATTTTATATTTTTTATATTAATTTGATTATTGGTTGTTTAAAACAAGTTTAGTTCGATTCTCAAACAATGTCATGTAAGCTGCATTTTGTTACATGTATTCATAAAAAATATTAATGAGTGAATGTGGGGAACTATTGTGGCTCTATTAGCTAGGTATTCTGAATTATAGCAAACAAATAAGAGGTGATTTAAATATTCTTATTTATAGGAAGTATTCAATTACGTATAAACCTCAAAAATGAAATCATTAAGACAATATTCACTTAGTTATGTGCATTCATAAACGAAGTTACGAATGAGAAAATTACTTTAGCCATAGTTAAACTATATCTACAAGTATGTATTTTGTTATTTTGGTACATTTTATTAGTATCAAAATTCAATTGGTCATTATTAGTATCATTTACAGCATCATTTCATATTATTTATATGAATTAATTTAATTAATATAATTTTGTAACAGTGAAGTAAATTAGAGCATATTTTTGAGCTTGAAAACAGCTTGAAATAATCACTACTATATAAAATTGTCGTGTTGATTTTAATAAAATAAAATTGAAAATTATTGGTCATCCTAGAATGTTATACTCAAAGTGATTGGATTAGGATATTTTGCATAATTTATTAATTATGATTGAAATGAATCAACTAAATCATAAATAAATTGCAATATCTATTGACTATGAGGCTAATTAGTTCAGAACTGTAGTGATTTATTTTAACACAAAAGTATTGTGTTTGGATTGATTCAATTATTACATAAAAGTGAAACTTATATTATGCAGATATAAGCTTGTGTAACCAGTATCCAACGAATCACTTTGATTGTACCATATTGATAAACTATTATGCAATGCATAAAAATTAGAATGTGGCTACAAAAAAATATATTTATTAATTTTATATATTGATAATACTTGTTGCTGAAGTCCATTATCGATAGCTAAGAAATTTCTTTATGAAAAACTTATTGAATTGTTGAAATCATAGAAGTACATATATATATATATATATATATATATATATATATATATATATATATATACATGTTTGTGTGTGTATGTCTATAAAGAATATATTCTTTGTTTAAACCTGCATAATAAGAGAACATATTGTGTCTCACGTTACTCTTACTACCTTTTCTCAAAGGTGTTATTATGTTCTCATTTTTATTCATCTATTTTTAACAGGTGTAAAATATGTGCCTCTAGATTTGCTAGATTTTTCATTATATTGTATTATGCATAAACAATGTTTAAATGTTTGAAGATGTATGGATAATGAAGCACATTTAACAACGAACATGAGCTCATACATAATTAAATCATTTGCTTTCAGTGCACTCTTTCAATAAATCCATGTGAATGTAACAC